GCCTATTTACAAATCGCGGTATCGCAGTCTCGATCAAAATAGAACTCTCCGACTCAATAATCAATAATCAAATGTCGGCTTAAAAGATTTATCTCAAAAATTGATTAAAAGAATTACTCAAGAAAGAATAATCGGAAAATAGGATATTGCAATTTGTCAATTAAATTTTAAATGTGAAATTTGGTGGAAATTCTTGTTTACATTATCCCCTTAGGGATCGCTAAGGGGATCTTTGTGTTTACATTGGCGAACATTAGGGATCGCTTAGCGGACTGTGTGAACTGATCTGGGTAAGAATACTTTGGAGGCGTAGTTGACAGAAAGAGCTGACCACGGATTCATTTCAGGTCTATCCGAGCTCTCTGGAAGTTAGCTCTTGGCTCAAAGTTGTTTATAAGTTGGGTAAGGCGTCATATACTAAATTAAATCGTCCCGATTTATTTAAATTGATGGGTACTGGGTGGGTATTGATGGGTAATGGGTGCTGATTTAAAATCAAGAAATTCAGCATGGTATTTACAAAAACGCTTTCATTAGACTACTTAATACAACAATTTCGGATCAATTACGATGTAGTCAAAACCAATCTAGGAAATAGAGAAAAGTCTCTATTATCACACCTTTCAAAAAATTGTCCTCCACATTTAAGTCACAGCTTTAAAGCTATTATGCAATAAAGCGATATATTCGGATTGGACACTGAACCACCAATTACAAAGAATTTTTAAAGCAAAAAGTAAAATTAAAAGATGATAAACCAGTGTATGAAATAAATACAAAAGCATGTAGGAAAATCCTGGACATAAGGTGTTTGAAGAGAATGAGTGAATCTGTGAAAAATACATTCCCTCGAGCTGCCGAAGTTATTGGGTCCGACTTAACAGGTGCTGGTTGCATTGAGGAGCTATCCAACTTTGGGGCACGGCCAGCAAGACTAATATTCGGACTATCCAGACATTTGAAAATAGAGCCCTCCGTATCGCCACTGTGGCCCACGTCTACAACGACAAGCAGACAATCCACGAGGTGCATGGCTTCCCATTGGTGAAGGAGGAGATACAGAGAAGCAGCCGCAAGTACATCCAGAGGCTACACAACCACCCCAACGAGTTGGCGACCATTCTCCTCGACAACAGCGGACAGATGCAAAGGCTGCGCAGAACTCACCCGCTGGACCTCCCCCGGAATAACTCTTAGACATTCTTATTCTTATTCCTTTTATTGCACCTCTATCTTTAAGTTTTCTGTCAAAATATTTAATGATTGTCCCTGTTGGACAGTTTTAAATAAATTCACTCTCGTCATAATAAAAAAAATGTAGAAAAATTGATTTCCGACGGGACTGTCTCTAGACTCTCAGTTTTAAAGCTATTAACTTGAAATTTTGCAGACACCCTTCTTTTTTTGCCGCAGTATATAAGTAGAATCAGTCGGGATCAGGCAACTATATTTTATAGCTGCCATATAACCGAATTTTCAACTTCATAAGAATCGGCCGATTAGGATATAATCGATGCGGATATAATCTATTACATAAATATAACATACATTTAAATATTGCCATATAACTAAAGATTTTTTAACAATTGACCCGACCTAATAAATTTCATAAAGATTGGCCGTCTATGTCCCATAGTTGCCATATACATACATACATATATGTAAGTGCGATCGGAAATGGTATTTTTAAAAATACCAACTTTGGTATTTTTGAAGATAGAAGCTTAGTACTTTTTTAAAATTTTTTATTCTAGTTATTTGTTTTTATTGTGAAATTATCATATTGAACGACCAACTATATTCAATATTTGCGATATATTTGATCTTAACCGCAAGGGTATGTCCATTTCGGTTTGGAACGAAGTTACCTTTCCTTTCTTGTTATTTGTGAAGTTTCATATACCTATATTTTGGTCCCCAAAATATATAATAGATATTTTAAGAGTGGCATACGGGTTAGTTACCGTTTTTACGTCCACGATTTTTAGCACAATTTTTAGTATCTCCTCTAACCCATATACTAGTTGGCATAAATATTTTGAGGAGCCCTATTTTTGACTATCAGACTTTGCTATCCTTAAAACCGTTAAAAAAAAGGTGCCAAAATTAGGCGCAAAGGAAGGAATCTATAAGTAGCTATGTGCATGCCAAATTTTATTTCGTTTACATTGTGCATTTACTTTCTACTGATAATAATGCATGCAGACAACGGCTTTTTGCGTGGCATAAGTATTTTGACAGGATCTTAATGGAAACATTTTCACACTTTTAAGCACGCCAGAATTAAAGAACTTCTGTGCTTAACTTTGAGGAATATTAAACGTTGTTATAAAAGTAAAAAGTTATTAAAAATTATTAAATAACATGGGTTAAACTGCTGAACTAAGTTTGGTTACCAGATCCTCAATGGTATCAAAGTTTAACGCTGGAATAGCAATCAAAGACATTGCCCATGAGTTTAAAGTGTCGCGCCAAACTGTGCACTACCAAATTAAAAAATTTAAGAAGCATAATGACCTGCGTAATTTAAGAAGATCAGGTCCAAACGAAAAACAGATCTCAGTGAAGACCAAGTTCTTGTACGGGAATTAAAAAAAATGTTTTTCTAAAGCCCCAATTCACAGCAGATCAATTTAATTTGACAACTAAAACACCAATTAGTGAGCGCACAGTCCGTCGACGTTTAAAAGAAAGTGATTTCAAGACTTATAAAGTCAAGGAAGTACCATACATAACAAAAGCAAACAAGCTCAAAAGACTGGCTTTCGCAAAGGAATATGTCCATAAGCCAAAGGGGTTCTGGAGGAGCTTTCTATGGACAGATGAAAGCTCCTTTAAGTATAACTCATCAAAAAACACATTTTTTTGTAAGATTACCAATGGAACAAAGGCAGAAAAGGTGGTCCAAAGGCGGTTTGCCAAAAAGTAAGCCATGGTGGAGGCTCTGTGATGTTCTAGGGATGTGTCGCGTATAATGGACTGGGTGACTTCGTTCCTGTCACTTGTTCAATGAACCAAGGTCAATAATTACGGATTCTAAATGATAACGCATTTACTTCTGGAGACAGGCTTATTGGTCAATCCTTCATTCTGCAACAGGATAACGCCCCATGCCACAAAGCCAAGATGATTACATCATTTTTGAAGGAGCTTGGTGTTACCACTTTGGACTGGCCACCTCAAAGTCCAGATTTAAATATAATTGAAAACGCCTTGTCTCTTATAAAACGTAAAAGAACAGTATCGTTGAATAAAACCAGAGAGGAGACAGAGATATCTCCAGAGATCATCCAAAATTTAATCGATTCAGTACCGGGACGCCTGGAAAAAGTTATTAAAACTAAAGGAAATTATATATTTTACTTAATTCCTATTTTTGCCTTAGTTTTTTTGAGTTTAAACTTTGTTATTCACATTAAAAGGTACTTGTCAAAATACTTATGCCACGACATAAAAATTACTTTAGCTTCTATTTTTGCAAGTTCATATGACAAAATGTTGAGTTCATTATTTTTAAGTTTATATTAGCACTAAGTAATACAGAAAAAAAAATCATTGAAATATATTAAACAATTGCAAAGTTACATACAAACTTGAACCATTTGTTTTTCGTCAAAATAATTATGCCGACTAGTGTATATGTATATACAAATGGGCAAAAATTTTGAGCGCGTCAATCGCGAAGACTATAAGAGTCTAATAGTCGTAAAATATCCTCGAAGATAAAGCTTGTGTCAAAATTTTTTCGCATTTAAATTTTAATTTAAATTTTGTCAAATTTAAAATCAGCCAAATCGGATGATTTTTAGAGGACTTATAGACTTTTTAGTCTGTTTCCCTACTGAATAGGTGGTGTGGTTGTTTTGCCCAAGCGCAAAAGTATTCCACCAAATTTTGTTGCTGAGAATTCCTACCGTTAAAGTTTAAACTTGAATGGTTAGTCAAATTGTGGGTAAAAGAGATTTAGAGTAAGAGATTTTGCTCAGTTGAGCCTAACTACAAAATTTCAAAACGATCGATCGGCCGATAATATCTATAGGTACCATATCGGAAATGGAACGATCGGAAATGGTATTTGGTAAAAATACCATCTTTGGTATTTTTGAAGATAAATATATTCCGATAAATGGGTTTTATAATAAAATTCTCATAACGAGATATATCCGATCATAACTGCAAGGGTATATCATCTTCTGCTCCGCCCGAAGTATGAAAACCTAGAGCACAATCGTAAATCATTTAATTTTTTTAAAGTTAATGGTAGAGCTCGTTGTTATACACTTGCAGAGGGTATTACAATTTTGGTCAAAAGTGTGCAACGCAGTGAAGGAGACATCTCCGACCCTATGAAGTATATATATTCTTGATCAGGATCACCTCCTGAGTTGATATAAGCATGTCCGTCTGTCCGTCTGTCTGTTTCTACGCGAACTAGTCTCTCAGTTTTAAAGCTATCGTCTTGAAACTTTGCACACACCCCTCTTTCCTTTCCACGCAGTATATAAATCGGAACGGTCCGGATCGGCCGACTATATCCTATAGCTGCCATATAACTGATTGATCGGAAATGGTATAACTTTGGTGTTTTTGAAGATAGAAAGCTGAAACTTTACAGAAACTTTACTTTACAGAAAGTACAGATTCTATTTTTGGTCAGTTGATCCAAACTACCAAATTTTAACGATCGGCTGACTATATCTTATAGCTGCCATATAACTGAACGATCGGAAATGGTTTTTGGAACAAATACCAACTTTGGTACTTTTGAAGATAGAAGCTTGGGACTTTTTTTTAGATTTTATATTATAATAAATTGGGTTATATTATCATATTCTCATAAGGATCGGCCAACTATATCCGATGTTTGCGATATGTATCCGGTTTTAACTGCAAGGGTACATCAAATTCGACTCCGCCCGAAGTTAGCTTTCCTTTCTTTTTTCCTTAATATCACATTAAACATTTAATATTTACGAAAAGATGTCTTAATTAAGACTTACTTAAGATTTTCCTTTAAATGCATTTTGGCGGGTTTTTATGGTTTTTCACATTTTTAAACATTGCTCATTTTTTTAATTTTACTTATAAGTTAATTTTAACTGCAGTTTTTTTATGAACACGATAATATAGTGTTTTCAGTTTGTTTCTATATCAAAACAAATTTAAAAAGCACTGCGTCGCGCATACCACACCATTTATGATTTCGTTTGTCTATTTTTAAGTATAAAGTAATTTTGGTAAAAATCCAACGTATGATAGAATATTTTCAACATTCATTATAGAATATTTGATATAGAAACTCAAACGTGCCAATTCTAACATCGTTTTATAGTTTTGTTTTTCAGTTTTAATTGAAATTTAAAATTTAACAAATTCTGTTATTTCCATTTTTATGTTATGATCATTACAAAATACTTCGTACTTTTGAAGCACAAAAGCTTTCTAAAGCCAAAATTTTAATTGATTAAGAATGGGCAGAAAACTTTTTGAGCACTATACACGTGTATACGTTGTATATTTAGGAAAAAGCTATTTTCGTTCAAAAAGCTTGTCTACTTTTTTGTCGAACTGCTCTTAATGTTGAGCAGATGACTTTAATGCAGGTCGTCCAAATTTTCGTAAGCATATGAAAAAAAAACAAGAAATGAAAGCTATTATATACCATTGCAGTTAATATCGAAAATAATTCGGATAAAGTTGACCTCTTTTAGGAATTTCAACTCTTTTTCTTAACAAAAAAGTAAAGGTATCTTCGAGAAGAGCCGAAGTTACGGTCGGATCAGATATAATCGCAAATATCGGATATATAGTTGGCTGATCCCTATGAGAATTTTAATAAAAACCAATTTATTAGAATAAAAAATTTAAAAATTTTCCCAAGTTTCTATCTTCAAAAATATCTTGAATACAAAAAGTGGGGTATTTTCTTATCGTTCAGCTTTATATCAGCTATAGGCACGGTTGCCACTTCAAATTTTTAATGAACCAATAAAAGATTATTTATTATTTTTTAATTTTTTTTATTGATTATTTTTTTTATTTATTTTTTTTTAACTTTTATCATAAGAAAGTACAACATAAGACATAAGTAAAACATAAAACATTTTTCTGCAATGAAACAGCTTAACAGCTAAAGCTTACTTGGTAATTTAAGTCACCAAAAATACCAACAAAACAATTTAGTTTCGATCTGTCACTTTTAGATTTCAGACATTATTCAAGACATTATACCGTTCCGACTTATATACTGCATACATGGAACGAAGGGTATGTGGAAAGTTCAATAGCTTAAAAACTGAGGCGTAGAAACAGGCAGACAAACTGTTCTTAAATTATAATGGTTTAGAAGTAAAAGTCTACTATGGTAGGAAAGGAAATGTAGATTTACATCTCACTTGAGTGAGATAACAGAGATAACAGATACAGATAACAGATAACAGCATAACAGCATAACAGAGAGACTCCAGTTGTAGCTCGGACTAGGTGGGAGTGTGAATCTTTGAAAAGGACTCGTTGGGTGCTTTGAAATCAGTAGCTAGAAATCCACTCATGAAGGTCTACAGGAAATATTAAGAGCTTACTTAAAAAGCGTGAGTTATTAATAGAATTAAAAGTTTCACTAATTTTAGTGGAAGTGCCATCTGTTTGAAACAGACTGGGGATTGACATTTCTTTGCTCTTGTTATGAACTCTTCAAAATCCTTTGTCGTGAAACAGCTACCTAGACGCAAAATTTTGCTTATAGGTCAGTGTTGCTCATCCCATTGCTCTCGCTGCCCATTTGTTTTTGCAAATGCTCATGAATACAGAGTTGTGTATGAATGCTTACGCCATAAGGTTCGTTGCTCACGCCACAAGCTTCGTTGCTCTGAGCATAGGCAAAGGGCAATTACAATAAAAAATTTTCGTGTTTTCCCTATTCTCCTCAATTGTGCTAATACAAATTTCCTGAAACAATCTTTTAAGCCGAATTATTTCTTTTGCAACTTCATTGGCTGTTACGATCTCAGCCTCTGTAGTAGAAATGGCCACCATAGCCTGCCTTTGACTTTTCCATGAAATGGCTCCTGAGGCAAACATGATGATGATCCCTGATGTAGATCTCCCAGTCTTCGTGCAGCCACCAAAGTCAGCATCGCTGTAGCATCCGAGGATTCCCTTCATCTGTTTCCGATAGACTATCCCAACGTTGATTGTTCCGGAAATGTAACGGAAAACCCTCTTCACTTGAGCAATTTTTTCTTTTGCAGGATTTTCAAGCGTTCTTAAAAGAAATCCGATGCTGAAAGCCAAGTCTGGCCTAGTTCCAAGCATGGATACATGAGAGCTCCGATGGCTTGGCGATAAGCTTTGCAATCCGAGAATCTGAATCGCTCCAAAATACTTGTGGCATCTCCTAGTTGATAATTTTTACTAAATTTTTTAGTCCATTTTCTTGTTTCTTGATTTCGAGTCCCAAGAAGCACTCAGCCTTGCTTGAGACAATTTTGAACTCAGATTCTAACTCGTCCAAAATTTTTTCCAAAGCTTGCGTATCTGTTGCTGCGGCGAGTCCGTCACCTACGTAAACAACGAGTAGAATCTTTTTTCCATTTCTTTCCCTGATGTAGAGACATGGATCTGCCTCGCTGAATTTGAAATTGTGTTTCCACAGGAAACCTCCGAAGCGTTCTTGCCAACATCGTCGCCCTTGCTTAAGCCCGTAGAGCCTCTTCTTCAATCTGTAAACAAGCCCCTGTCCTTGCTCGTATCCCTCAGGTTGTTGCATGAAAATCTCCTTGTCTTCCAATTCACCGAATAAAAAAGCTGCCGAGACGTCTAACTGGACCAAAAAAATATCATTTTTGGCTGCAACGCGGATTGTTTCCATTCTTGCGACAGAGCTAAAAGTTTGGTCGTTATCAATCCCTCGTCCCTGGGCGAATCCTTTGATGACCAAGCGAGCTTTGTATTTGTCGATACTTCCGTCGGGGTGGGTTTTGACTCGATGGACCCACTTTCACGGAAGTGCTTTCGAGCCTCTGGGGAGTCTTGTCAAGTTCCATGTTTCATTCTGATGTAAGGAATCAATTTTCCTGTCCATTGCCTTTTTCCACTGTTGATGGTTTCATGGAAGGAATCTGGACTCTCCAGCACAAAATTCTCGGCTGCTGCTATGTAGTCATCCAGATGCTCCGGTCTCTTCAACTTCGAACGATCCCTACACCGCAAAATTTACTTTTTCTTTTACTTTAAACTATTATAATTATAAACCCCATAGCCTATTATAACTTTTACTTATTTAGTTATTTAGGCCAGTAAATAAACGATATTTCTTGAAACTCAAACTCTTGTTTATTTACTCTCTTCGACAGCTTTTAGGTTTTGTGTTTTTAATTCGATACTATCGAAATGATATTTAGAAATTTACCCTCTGAAAATTACCCTCTGACTACCCTCTGGGTAATTTTGAATTTGAAACATTAATCTTCAACAATTATTACATATATATTAAACATAATTATTTTTAAGGAGATCATTTAAAAAGTCTTAAAAAAGTGTTCTGTTTTTTACGTTCTTTGGAAGGTAAACGTACAATCGTGGACAAAAGTATTTTTACATAAAAAAATGAACATTTTGTGTTATAAGCTCTAAGTGTTAATTAGTTATCCAAAAAGTATTAATGAAATTTATTTATAATAATAGTGTAATCTATATACACTTCTGGTCTTGGATAGACGCACTCAGTTTTCAAATAAATTTGTTTTATATTTTTTATTTTAATGATTATTGAAAAATGCAATATAAAAAATGTTAATATGCAAAAACTTTGGTTATTTAATAATACTTCAATTATAATATTGAATATTCAATATTCAATTCAATATAATTTTATATTATATATATTGAATATATATTGTATAATAATATAATATATGGTATAATATATATATTGACATTTGTTTTTCATCCTCTTAAATCCTGTTCGACATACCAAAAATCGCACTTAAAGTGAGTTTCTACCAGTTTCATCACACTGACAAAATCACGCTACCATAGCATTTTAACTCAATTTAAACTGGGGCAAAACTCCTTCATCATTAAGTAAACACATTGAGAGTTTTGTACAGTGAGCAATGCCAATAAAACGCAAAGGGGGTGATTTGAGGCGTGATATAAATAGATCTCGAAACATGCGAAATAGATGATCGGAAAGAACCGAGAAACAAATTCAGCAACAAAATACTAATATACGTGTTAGAAATGCGCAACAACGACAATCACGCCGTTTCACAGTCAATAGACGCAAAACAAATGACCAAAAATGACAACAGGTACATCGAGCATTTATATCTCATTCATTCCTGCGTCAGGCATTCCAGTATGAGCCTGATATTGAATATTATGCTCACTCAAAAGTGGTAATTGGTGCTATGGACAAGGAATGTCCGCATTGTCATGCTCTGAAATTCAAAAATGATCCAGCTCGGATGTGTTGCGCGTCAGGAAAAAAGTAACTACCAGAAATTGAAACTTCACCTGACCCATTGAACGGGTTACTTATCGGCACGGATCCAGACTCTAATGTGTTCCTGAAGTCAATTCGAACATTTAAGGGGTTATATACCTTTTTTATTTTCAAAAAATCGAAAATTTTTTATTGCTTTATCTTGAAGAACAACTCCTTGAGAACATTTTTCATAGAGATTGGAGCACTAGAAAAGAAGTTACAGCGCTCCTAATCGCGCGCCTTGTCGTGGCCTTAAACTGAACTTGAAACTTTAAACGCGAATATCTTGAAATGGTGTTTCTTGAAAAATTACTTTGCGGTGACATGGATTGGCGGAAAACTACGTAATGTTCGTAATGAAATTCTTCTGAGCTTGAACGATCGACTTTCGCACAAGCTTTTTTTTTCGCCGAAATGAATTTTTAGTGAATTTCTAGAGACCAAAAAGTTTATGTTTAGCATAAAACGTTCCCATATGCATAAAAAAAAAATTTCTAAATTGATCGTTCAAGCACAAGGAATTACACTAAACTAATGAAAGTTTTTTACTTTTATGGTTCCAGTTGACCTGTTCGACCTGGGGAATTGTCACCGCAAGGCTCTAAAAAAAAGCCTCTAAGGAAAACAGCCACCACTTAAAAACTATTTAATATTTTTCCACCAAATTTTGCACAAGCATTGTTTATAAAGTGTACTATCAAAAAATTAAAACTAAATTAAATAACTGCTACCTAAATAACCCCTTATTTTATGCTTTCAAAAGACATCGTTCGGAGCAACAGAAATAGTTCGAAATACTAATGAAAATGGTCAACATAACAATTCTACATTCACAATCAGAGGCCAAGTTTATCATAAAATTGGCTCACTGCTGCCAATGCCAAGTAAACCACATAAATTCTTAAAAATCTACTTTATGAGCGGCGAGGA